GGTCACCAATGACCAGTTTACTGAAGAGAGAAGTGGACAAGGCCTTACAGAGTGAGAACGGACACTGGGACCTTTTCCTCCGGTTCCTTCTAGGTCTCTCACTAGAGTCTAATCAGACTCTCTTACAAGGCCTCCTGAGAAAGACAGTAAGCAGCTCTGATATCAATCAGGAAACAGCTGAATACATCAAACAGAAGATCAGGGAGAATCCCTCTCCAGAGAAATCCATCAATCTGTTCCACTGTCTGAATGAACTGAATGATCGCTCACTGGAGCAGGAAGTCCAAACATACCTGAGCAGAACAGATTACAGTCGTCTCTCTGGAGTCTATCTGTCTGCTGCTCAGTGGTCGGCTCTGGTGTTTGTGCTGTTGAACTCAGAAGAAGAGCTGGATGAGTTTAAACTGAGTAAATATGATCCATCAGAAGAATGTCTTCTGAGGCTGCTGCCAGTGATCAAAGCATCTAGAAAGATTGAGTGAGTATTTTACAGTCTCTTTGTTTTATTGACTTTATTTTATACAGTAGGCCTGTGTTTCTCTTCACTGTTTCTGTATATTTTGAGGTCTTTCTTATTTGACACAGTGACACAGTGAGTGTGTGTGTGTGCGCGCGTGTGTGTGTGAGCGTGCGTGTGTGTGTGTGTGAGCGTGTGTGTGCGTGTGAGTGCGTGCGTGTGTGTGTGTGTGTGTGTGTGTGTGCGTGCGTGTGTGTGTGTGTGTGTGTATGTGTGTGTGAGCGCGTGCATGTCTGTGTGTGTGCATGCGTGTGTGTCTGTGTGTCTGTATGTGTGTGTGAGTGAGTGAGTGAGTGAGTGAGTGAGTGAGTGAGTGAGTGTGTGTGCGTGCGTGCGTGCGTGCGTGCGTGTGTGTGTGTGTGTGTGTGTCTGTGTGAGTGTGCGTGTGTGTGTGTGTGTGTGTGTGTGTGTGTGAGAAAGTGACAGTTGAGATTCAAATTCATGAACATTCCTATGTTGTCTATGGGATTTTTTTCCCTGCTTTTTTGTCCGCTGTGTGAACATCTTAGGTCTGATCGCTTATTAAAGATACAGCACTCCTCTCCTCAGTGAGCCGGTCAATTTGACACCTCATTCATGGGTCTGTGATAAACGGTGAATGTACTTAACTCATCTTTATTTTTTCTGTATTTTCTCTGCAGTCTTTCCAGCTGTGGTATTACACAGAAAGGCTGTGCTGCTCTGAGTTCAGCTCTGAGATCAAACCCCTCACACCTGACAGAACTGAATCTGAACAATAATAAACCAGGAGACTCAGGAGTGAAGCTGCTCTCTGCTCTACTGGAGGATCCACACTGTAAACTGCAGAAACTACAGTGAGTATCTTCACATCTCAGTTACTATAAGGTTTCGAGTAAAAGGTAAAATCACACAAATGTGTTTTCCGTTAGCAGTGGTTTTGTTTGTTGCCCTCAGTTCATACCCCTTAAAAATTTAATAAAATAAAATAATTTACTTTTGTTAACGGAGTACATTGCAGAATGTGTTTACAAAATACAGAACATTTTCTTTAAAAAAAGATTCTTACACTGCTTGAAGATCCCATTATATCTTAATATGGCTTTACAGTAGTCTCAATAAATATAATATTTTATCTTATTTTTATATTTTTATCTTGTGAGTGATATACAGTCAAATCAAAATGTATTCAGACACCTTCAACATTTCTCACATTATATCACAGTTTAGTTGCTATAGTTTAGAAAATGGTAATAAAATATGAGAATAACTCAGAGTTAAACTGTGCCAGAACAAACTCATCTTGATAATGTCAGATAACTTTGATAGAAAGGTATGTAATGGATTACAATCAACCAAAAATTATTCAGCTGTTAAATTTAAGGACACAATTAGATAATATCAAATTAGGTCAACCAATTACCAAGCAATGCTTAATTTTTTTCAGTATTTGGTGTAAAAAGGTCACTTGAACAATTAAAGAAAAAACACTTAAAGGGATCATATGATGCTGCTAAAAAGAACAGTATTTTGTGTATTTGGTGTAATGAAATGTGTTTATGCGGTTTAAAGTGTTTTGGTTTGACTGTATTTTTAAATACGATGTTTCATTAAAAATGTGGTGATTATCTCTAAGGTGGACAGTAATGAACTTAAATAAATGCTGTTGTCTACGTTAACCATATCATGTCAACAAATGGAAAGTCAGACAGCTATTTATCACATTAGATAACAGTATAGGGATGTTTTTTTTATACCCCAAACACCGTACTTTTCATATTCTTCAGTTATTGAAAAACTGTTGGTGTAATTACCTTGAACAAAACTGAAAACATTAACAAGACCTTTGTCTCAAAGTATATTCTGTAATTTTTTGATGATTATTTGCTACATAAGTCTGTAATAATTTTAAATGAGCCTTTTACATGAGTCCTCTTTTAGCCCCATTGTAAACTACCACACGCGAGTCCCAAGTCACTGTTTGCATGAATGTTTATTAGCTACTGGAGGAGCCACACTGTAAACTGCAGAAACTACAGTGAGTATCTTCACATCTCAGTAACGATAAGGTTTCAAGTAAAAGGTAAAATTACACAAATGTGTTTTCCGTTTGCAGTGGTTTTGTTTGTTGCCCTCTCTTGTTGCCCTTTACTTTTGTTAACAGAGTACATTGCAGAATGCATTTACAAAATACAGAAAATTTTCTTTAAAAAAATATTCTTACACTGATTGAAGATCACATTATAACTTACAGTTTTTCTCGATTGCTTAAACACATTTCTTGAAATTATGCCTTTTTTTTTTTTTTTTTTTGCGAAACTAAA